GTATAAATAAGTGGATCATTGCAGAACTTATGAGTGGTCCTCTGCGGGACAAGCGCAACGGGTTCCGCAGCTATCTACTCACCAATATACTGTTGAACTGTTCAAATAAGACACTCACCTGAAACGTGTACTTTTTAAACTAATGAGAATAACTTACATTTGAGAGAGTCAGGTTAGTATCGTAATTATACAACATATTGATGAATAGATGGCTGCGGAACTCGCTGCGCTCGTCCCGCAGAGGTTCACCCATAAGTTCCGCAACAATCTACTCGTTTGTACTTGAATAACTTGTCACATTATGTTACTACTTTGGTAAAGTAATATTACTTATTTCTGTTGAAAGGCAAATTGACAAAAAGTGGATAATCTTAGAAATTTTGACTTTATATAATAAGTTATTGTTCAAGTACAAATACGTGAATCATTGCAGAACTTATGAGTGCCCAGCCATCTACTCACCAGTTTACTGTTGAACTATTGCTATACCTAAGAGTACACAAGTACAGATTTTCCAATTTGTCTTATACCCGGTTTATTCATCTTAAGATAAACTTGTTGGTAACTATTTGCAAGATAAATTTACCATTCTATAACTCCATGGGTCGGTGGATAAGTGGTCAACCAATGGGATTACAGATTGCGTTTTTATCTCCCAGATTGCATACCTGACAGTTTATCAGAAGATGAATAAACCGGCCCTTAAAGTATCAGTATTCGCATTTAAATTCTTTAAAATTAGATAGAGTTCAAAATATTTAACTAGGTATAATCATTTTTTCAATGTTCATTAATTCTCTTCCTTCGAAAGAGCTCACAGATTTAATAGTCATCAAAATTTCCTATTTATACTTAGCAAAAAATATTCAAAAGTTATTAACATATTTGCAAAGTCCCAAAAATCCCAAAAGGTATTATTTTTATGATGCAACTTTAATTTTCTTTGATGTTGCTTATATATTCGGTTATAAATGAGAACAAATCAAGGTACCTAATAAACTGGCCAAACTACAATTTCATTGAAATTTCAAGTAAATGAAGCACAAACTGACCAAACTTTAGTTGAAATGTATTCCTACATCCCCAACGGCAGATGTGTTTGTTACACATGACAATTTAATTAAATCTTGGCACTTAACCATTTTAATTCCTGTTTTTATAAACAATAAAAATTTGACGCTGACGTAAAATCGTCTCTGGAATTCCAGTCTCAGTCAAAATTCAAATTCTGTATAACTCATTTATGCAACCTTTTGATCCTGGCTCGCATACTCGAATAACGTCGTAATGAATTCTTCCCTAACACATTAAACCGCAAAGGCGGTTTCGGTCGTTGGCGTAAATTGGGAAATTTCGACGCTTGGATATGACAATTATGTCGTGGGCTACTAAAATGACTATTATCTTCCTCAGGGAAGTTCATAAATGTAATGACCGATATATCTGTTTGATTTATTGCCAAAAAATTAAAAAATACTTTTTTCAATTCAATAGAAAATGGGCAACGTCTTGTCAAAAAACCGGATATTCTTTGAAATTATATTCTTTGACTCGTAGAGGCAATAAATAAAAATTAATGAGTCAAAAATATAAAGCCCAGACGAACTGTTGTTGAAGTTACAGATCACGTACTAACGGGGCGAAAGCATGGATTTAACCTTTAAAGGGCTGCAAATGTCAACGTAAGAGCGCCAATTTTTATTTAGAATAAAGTTGGCCAACCATTAAAATTGCACCGAGTTAAATTTTTCAGTATTTGCGAAATTTCCCAGAAGACACCGCCGCCGTGCCAGTTTAAATTACCGAGCCAAAAAGTTTCATTTATATAACATTTGCTTTCGCCATATAGAATTCGAAACCCATATATATTCCAAAGCGTTATAAATGGGACAATAACATCTCGGCAATGATTATTATCGTACCGCCAGCCTACAAACACAATCGTCCCTAACATTTGCTTGATTTAGCGCCCTTTGAAATGCATTGGGTTGTGCAGAATTGCCGATTCAGTTTAGAGTGAATGACATAGGAGGGATTTGATAGCTAATGGTCACTCCAATTTCTCTTGGCCACATATTTTGTTATATCTACCTACAAAGAAATTTCAACAGATAAAATTATTATGCAAATTGTCGATACTTTTTTACAAGATCTTGGACGTTATGATCTACATTTTCTATTATGGAAAAAAAAAGAATATTGCAAATTAAGAATGACGTTTACTTGGGGGGATTGTAATAAAGTTCAAGCAATTTTTAAACGATAATTGACTTTTCGAATGAGCCCGAAATTCTTATCAAAGATCTTCGATTCTTCAAGTTTCTTGACACGACATTCATGTGAAAATCTTTATGAAATCTTGATGTATCGTGTGGATTACAAAGCCTTAAACAACAAAACCGTTAAAGATTGTTATCCTTCAGCACTCTTGAAATGGTAAGTGGTTACCATCAAATTAAAATGGCTGAAGCTTCTAGAAGAAAGACATCTTTTGTGACTCCAAATGATCAATATGAATATCTGAGGATGCCATTTGGTCTTGTTAATGCGTTAGTAATGTTTCAGCGCACTAATAATCAAATTTTGGGCTCAATGAGATTTTATACCGCTCTAGCTTACATGGATCATATTTTAGTCCCCTCTTCTAGTAGGGTGTGACGTGTTAAAGATTTTTCGAGAGCCACGTGTTACTTTACGATTAGAAAAGTGTCAATTTTTCGAAAACAAATTTGATTATCTTGGTCAAGAAATCAGTTCTGAAGGCATTAGATCAGGGTTAGAAAAAATCAAGGCATTAGATCAGGGTTAGAAAAAATCAAGGCATTGGAACGTTTCCCTACACCTAAGAACTTCGTCCTTTTACTTTAAGCAGAAAAATGTTGATGACTCAATAAGAGGTAGATATACATATATGGTGATGTAGCATCCGCGCCAAGTACTCTATTATTCAGGTTAGATGGTAAATTGCGAGCGGTCGTATTTGATGGTAATTATTTCCTTGGGCAGCTGCTATAATATAAAATTGTGTACGGGGATTTGAGCCGGGCCAACTCCAAAATTCACGAATACAAATGCAGGAATTGTTTAGGTATTCTTCAGTTTTCAAGAAAGTGAAGGGATATGGTACCTCTTCAGATTAGAGGCTTTTTAACGTAGTAGAGGTGGGTATTGGTTTGATAGCTGAAGGCACTTGAGCGTGGGAGCTTTTTCGATACCGTGGGAAAATTGGCGCTTTTGATCTGAAATTTTGGGAATTTGACCCGGGCCAACCGTGGGAACTTTTTCGATACCGTGGGAGAATCGGTTGCCTTTGATCTGAAATTTTGGGAATTTGACCCGGGCCAAGCGTGGGAACTTTTTCGATACCGTGGGAAAATCGGCGCCTTTGATCTGAAATTTTGGAAATTTTACCCGGGCCAACCGTGGGAACTTTTTCGTAACAGTGGGAAAATCGGCGCCTTTCATCTGAAATTTTGGGAATTTGACCCAGGCCAAACCGCGGGAACTTTTTCGATACCGTGAGAAAATCGGCGCCTTTGATCTGAAATTTTGGGAATTTGACCCGGGCCAACCCCAAAATTGGTGAATCTGGTGAACCATTTACGTAGAAGAGGTGGGTATTGATAGCTGTGGGGCACTTGAGTCAAAAAATGCTCAGGAGCTTCACGGAAGGGGGTTTACAGTGGAGGTGGGTAGTGGTATGATGGCTGTGCTGGAGGGGGGGTTTTACGTGGTAGAGGTGGGTATGTGGTCTGATAGCTGTGAAAACACTCTACTCCGGACTGACTCATTAATTTCAACTGCTTGATTACTGTAGACTTAAGACTCAAGACACTAAGCTGAACTGATCTGAAGACTGATCGTAAACTACTAAAACCGCTGTTTTTATTTTTTTTGTTGCCCCTAAAAATTTCGGGTCATGTCGATTCATTGACCGTTCTTCTTTTCTAAGAAATATTAATGTTTGTTTAAAGCCGAATATCTATGTCGCAATTTCCTGGATTATCGGGGTCAACAGATTTAGTATGTGAATTTGAGGACAAACAAATCAAAGGATGCCGAACTCGTGTCGGCCTTAAATAATGTCTTTTTATATGAAATCTGTCACTTAGTCGCCAATTTAATTGCTTTATCCTTGCATTTAATGTTTTTATGGATTTGATTTATGAGTTCAATGTGATGGCACACGCTTGATGACTGGCTATTGAAATTTGAACGTATTTTAAATATTTTAATTAATTTGTGTCAATGCACTGTTTTTGTATTTTAAGTCCTTGTAAATTACGGGTCTATTTTTCCCGGGTCATAACAGTGGCAAGTCACTGTTTTCGTAGTTCATCTATCTTTCTAGTAAACGCAGGTGCAGATTTACTGTTACTCAAAACAGGCCGAGTCCTGAGACTTTATAGAAATGAGAGATTCCATTGATCATTTGCTTCAAAAGAAGATTTTTGATAAAATTCAAGGATCTGCAAGTATTTTCAATGGCTCTCATTAAAATGTTCATCAGTACACTTAATACTCAAGGATATTTCTAGAGTGAATGTCCAGAACTACTTCACTGTAATTTTTCGTGTTAAATTAAAATACAATGTTTTGTCTCGTAAGAATTGAGTTTTTTTTTTTTGATAAACATATGTCCGGAAATGCTTCGCTTTCTAGATACAGGGTGTTAAGACATTGTAAAAAAAAGCAATTTTTTTTAATTAATTTTTACGAATGCGTTAGACGAATTCAATGAAATTTTGATAGTTTGTTGACACCTTTATGGGGTATCTTTTGGACTGCTCAGAGTTGACCCAGTAATTTCAGGGGTGTGCCACAGGGTATGTCGAATTATTTTCAATTAGGATATGTTTTTTGTATAAAACACCTAAAAATACAACTTTTTTGTCTCTTCCTTTTTTTCCGTATGCTGCTTTATTTTCGAGATAAAATTCAAAAACCATTTTAGACTTTCAACTGGGGTGAAACTGAAATCTAGAATAAAAATACAAACATTACAATGGAGGACATTTATTTTATCAATAATAATATTATTATCCAGCTACAGTAAGAAGGTTATTAACATTTACAATATAATTAATTTAACATCATCATGGTCAATAATTAGCGATAATTTATTTAAAAATTAAACAAAATAAAGCTCTATTATTCCAAGGAAGCGAATATACAAAGGTAACAATAACTTCAAGCACACAAGTACAATGTAAAATGTATTATTTTTACATGATTGTTATTATAAAAGAGCGATTGTTATTTTTTATTTTATTTTTTTTTTGGTCAAATCGAGGGTGAAGTTCCTAAAGAAAATGCAGATACATAACATTTTGTTTCTCCTTTATTTTATTTTTTTTTCAATTTGTTTATCAGATTTTGTAAAAAACAAAGTTCACCACTACCTACTTGTAAGACCTACTAAGATTATTTAAAAATATGGATCTTCAATAAAAATTTTGGTATTTTACAACTAACCAATATAAAGAGAAAATTGTGCAACTTCTTATGGGGCTTATTCCCAACCACCATAGTAAGAACACACACCCAATCATTTTTGGCATAAAATAAATGTTTATCCCAAATTTAACAATTTAAAAACAAAACGAACTCTCACTCGTATGCATATTCTAACTTCATGTGGCGTTTAAACATTCTTTAAGGGCCAAATTTATAGTCGTTCTTTGAGGTTTCCTCAGACCATAAGGAAGCCTTGAACGTTTAGAATTGCCATGACTAACTTGTCAAATAATAGCAAGTGTCCATTCTAAACTCACGACCTTCAAGGAAGATCCAAGGAACAACTATAAATTCGGCCCTAAATCAGTGATAGTATCATCAGCATTTATTGATAAGAATATTTAAATGCTGCTGGTTTGTATATTGTACATTCATTAAATGCATTATTTAGGATTTCCAAAATCAAAAGAAATCGCTCCCAAAATGCCAAACTATAGAACGTGTACAAATTTATTTATAATAATCTTAAAATTCCATAATTATCTATTTCTAAAAACTTTTCTTAGATTATATTATCTTATTTTTTGACACTAAAAGATGATGAATTTTTACAATTTTCAACTATATAATATGATTTGTTTTCATTCATTTTTCTTTGTTATAATGATATGTAATTTTATTTTTATTCACAGATTTATATCTTCAAAAAAAAAAGCTTCTAAGCAAAAAAGTGTATTGTCGATATTTCTAGTACGTTGTTCCTGTTTGTATTTCATTACCAAGATTCCACGACTCCGCATTTTCCGTATGCGGTACCACCGCAGCAATGGGGGGCGGAGAAGACCCAGTCTGAGACGTTGGCTCACTGACGATACTTAAGGTGTGCATGATAGTTTTGGCAGCGGTTGCCCGATGATGGTCCACATCCATTAATTCTTCCAGTTCCTTGTCGTTTTTCGAATTAGCGGAATCTGGAGTACCTGTGAGACCGTCTCGGCCATTTTCGAATTCGTTTTCTGTGTGGTCGTCATTGTCTTCGGATTTGTTATCCTGAAACAAAGATGAAGAAAGCCTTAATCAATGGAAGAAGTACTTTGTTTTAGTTGGCCTTTATCTGGCCATCTATCTGTACTGGTTAATGTCTGTGTTCAGTTTCGTCTACGCGCCCTGTATATAGTTGTAGGTTAAATTGGGTATTTAGGATGTCAAATCCTATTTGGGAATAGAAATTGATTCGTTTTTTTTTCTTTATTTTTGTTTTTTTTTTTATTCTAATTGAATTGCGCATACTATATGCCTAAGAATTGATACGGCTTTGCTAAATTTGGCTTTTAAAAATGCGCGCGTTAAACACTGAAAAAGGATACCAGCAAAGTCCTTACAATGCCGAAGAGTGATGTCAGTAGCCAAAAACACTCCGTCCGTTTCGTGTGGTTCGAGAAAATAGACCCGCGGTTTTCCGTTTGCCGCGACCGGTTAAATCAAGACGGTTTCGTTTATACTCCTTCGCATTGGACTTGAACTTCCTGAAAGAGCTGGCCAGCTGAGTGGAGTTTGAAAGTAAAGCCAGGCAAGGTGAAAAAATATCCTTTTCAGTTTCGATATCTTTTAATTTCAATTTAAAATCTTTCATCAATTATTATTCAATCAGCAACGTGTGGATTTTCAAGTTTTTATTTCGCACATTCTATCGTTTTATCGATCACCAAGTCAGATAATCTTTTCTCCAGAATTCCCTATCATACTAACAAGAATGAGATTGCACCAACGTACACACGTTCCCTGACGTCAGCGTCAGCGTCAGAAAACGGTTGTACGTCATACCTGAATCAATGACGACGTTTACGTTGTCAGTTGTGCGTCGCGTACTATCCTAACAAACCGCACCCGTTTTCTGACGTCAGCGTCAGCATCAGAATTAGACAGCTGATTCTAGATTTAACAGTGCTATTCGGGAAAAGGGGGTATCGCGTTTATTCTGGATTTTACAATGGATTACGGATATTTAAAGGCCGGTATTAGTTAGTAGTTTTTAGTTTAAGATTGGCTGTGATACGTTTTAGATAGTGATTATTGTAGAAGTTGTGAAGAGTTAAAAATTATTGTTCTGTTAATTGGTCTTTGATTTTGGAATAAAGGAACCCAAGATTTCTATCACGCACCCCAGAACCGTGACAACATTGAGAGAAAAGAGAATGATTAATTAAATTTTGAAAATAATAGAAACAATAATTATTCTAGATTGTTCACATCTCCTGTAAAAATTATTGATGAAGGTGGGTGTTTGAAAGGCATATATTGAATAAGAAACCTCGAGCTTTTAATCCCTAGGCACCAATAATTATTATTAATGAGGTATCATTAGTGGCATATCGGATATTATTAAGCTAAAATAGAGCCTTGAACATATTCGGATCATTCTCTACGCACTGAACTATTAGGCCTCACTAATGATTATTATTATCTAAGCTAGCTACCTAAAATCTAATTACCAAATATGCACCTGACCAAAAAATCATCAAAACAGAGAAAGCACCCTCCAGACGAGAAAACGGCAAATTCCTAACGTAAATACGCTTTAATTATTCTAAGATTACTTATCCTTTTGTTTCTCCAATTGAATAGCCGAGGCTCCTAATTTATATTCCCCAAAAATCCCCGTTGAAGATTTAAACTTCAGGCATTTGAAGTTTCGAACAATAACAAAATGCTTAAGAGATGTTTATTTTAATTTTAAAGTGTTGTTGACGCTTTCGGCTTTTGTCCGAATAAGACGGAATTATTTGCCTCAAAACTTCAGATCTGCTTAAGACAGCCCCAGAGTTTTTTCACGCAATTTAGCTACAAGACACAAAAGTTTAGTGAACCATAAAATGTTTTTAAGATGCTTTTCATCTAATTACAACGAAATTGTCTCTGTAAAATTGTCATAAAACCAGAACTAAAATAAAATGGCCAAAAGTCTCATAACACTAGTTTTATAGTGTCCACGAAGACCATCTAATTGTTTCTTTATGACGTTATTAAACGGACAAGGGATTTATTCGAGATATTTTGTAATTTTTCTTTTCTATATTGTTACAAAGACTAATTTGGTTTCAAAGTTCAAATAAATTAAGCGAAGCGCGCTAAAGTTTTGAAAGGTTAATGTGAACTTGAGATCCTTGCTAGTTTACTAAAATGAACTCTTGAATTATTGAGCGATTTTCTTGTCTTTATTTATTAGCTCATCGTGTTCTTTATAAACTATGTATTATTAAATAATTACCTACCAAAAAAAAATATTCACCTGCAAAAAAACAAAGGCCAAAAGTCTTTCTCTTGGCAATTTCCAACTTTGCACTTTTACTTTTAGAGACTAATATTAAGACAAATGACCCCAGGTAACTCCTTATGAGAATTTATTGCCCTAATACGCGGTAAAGTTGGAAGTAAATTTCGTAGTAGGAGCACATTCTTCTTTGGCCAGCTCCATTTGTAGGATTAGGAACGGTTTACCCCCAATTTTTTATTCTTTCTCTTAGTTTGGCGATTATTAATGCAAAAATTTAATTTCTCCATCAGAAGGTCCCTCGAGCCATAATATTAAACCAGAAAACCCTTTTTGAGGCCAGCCAACATCACCGCTCGACAATGTTGTGCTCGGGGTGGTTTTCACGCTATGGCAAAATTATAAGCTGACGTGTTTGAGAATGTGGGATGTTTTCATTAATAAGCGAAGGCTTTAATTTAAATTTAGTTATAGTTTTTTTAAATGTTATTCCAAATCTAAGCTCTAGAAATATATGTTAGAATAAAAAACCGAAATTTATTATAATAAGTATAGTTTCCCCTAACTGAGCTGTTGTTTTGGAAATAAATTCGCGGAAAATTTCATTTTTCCTGTAGTAATTATTGTTCTGTTACGATCTCATTCCACCCTCCAAAAGCCTAACTGTTATGTAAATTTTCAAGCACAAAACTAAAATTATATACCTAACTATAATAATGAAATTCCTGTGATGGGTGCTGTATTGTAGTTTGTTTTGTGGACTCTTGCAAATTTATTGGTGAACTTTCCCTGGATCGTTGAAAAATGGTCTAAATAATACCGGCCTTTATATATCTGGAATCCATTCTTGTAAATTCCAGAATAAACGCAAGAATACCCTTTCTAAACAAGGCAGTCTTTTCTGCAACTTAAGGCATGGAATCTGTATACGCTGGCGAAAGCGCAGCGTAACACTGCCCTCCTCCTAATGTTAATCGTCCCGATCAACTTCACGCCCATGATATTTCGTCAATCTGTCCAGATGTACAACTTTCATTTTACTCCTGGTGTTGCGCTGAATTCGATGAACCAAATAATTAATCCTCTTGATTATTCTGTAGGGTCCTTCCCATGCTGGAGACAATTTCGGCAACACTCCTTTCTTTCTTGTTGGATTACACAGCCACACCCAATCACCTTCTTGAAATCCGGCTGAATTGGCTTTCAAGTCATATCTGGTCTTCATTCGGTTACTGGTCAGCTGAATATGCTCCTGAGCAAAATCATGTATCCCCAAAAGTCGTGCCCTCACTTCGTCGGCATAATCTCGAATTTCTTTTCGTTCTTCTTCAGGTATTCCAAACATCAGATCGCAAGGTAACCTGAGTTCCCTTCCAAAAACGATTCTAGATGGACTTTCACCTGTTGACTCGTGAACAGCTGGTCTGTAAACCTTTAAAAATAGATGCAAGTGTTAGTCCCGAACTCGCTGGTTCTTTGCGACCACTTTTGTCAAGTGTTTCCCTATGATCTTATTAAATCGTTCTACCAATTCCTGACAGCATCTATCTTTCCTTCCATAACTTGTATGCCATCTTCAGAAACCACGTGACCTAAGAATTCCACTTTCTTTTGAAATAGAAAACACTTATTTGGATTGAGTTTTAAGTTGGCATTCCGTGAGCGGTCAAAAACTTTCAGGTTATTGAGATGTTATTGGAATGAATTTCCCATGATCATGACATCATCCTAATATACCAGGCAAGCTTTCCATGCGAGGCCTTGCAAAACTAGATGTCTCAGTCGCTCGAACGTAGCGGGAGCATTACGCAATCCGAAAGGCATTAGGTTAAACTGATATAACTCGCTTCCGGTACTGAAGGCAGTTTTCTCTTTGTCATCTTTGTGTATTGCCACTTGCCAGTTTCCACTCTTAAGATCCAAGGTGGAAAACCATTTGGAGCCCGATAGAGTTGTTAATGTATAGTTTATCCTCGGAAGAGGGAAGTTGTTCTTCTTGATGACGTCATTAAGCTTACGATAGTCTACATAAAATCTAATACTCCCATCTTTCTTTGTAACCAATACTACTGGCACAGACCATGGACTATTCGACTCTTCAATTATTCCCTCTTGAAGCATTTTATCAATTTGGTTTTCCACTTCTTGTTGTTTAGCTACTGGCATACGACGAGGTGGTTGTCTTATTGGGTGTGCCAATCCAGTATCAATTTTGTGTTGAATTAAACTGGTCCGTCGGCGTCCGGTTTGATTCTCCATCACAAACACGTCTGCTCCTTTCAAGATGAAATCTGTAGCTTCTTGAAGTCTATCTGGATCGAGGTGTTTCCATGATTTCTTCAAAGTGTCTATCCAATTTCTGTTTTTTTTCACAAAATGTCGCTTAGCTGATAAATCACAATTCGATATTTGCTTAACTGGTTCGAGAACTCTAATATTTATCTCCTTCCTTTATTTTTACTGTTTCAGAAGAAACATTGGCAATTCTTATCATAATGTCTCCATTTGTTCTTATTAGGAGTCTTTCCAACGAGAAATTATTCTGATTTTTCTCTAATAAAATTATGTGTTGGTCCAACGCAGCACCCAGGGTTTGTTTCCAATTTTCCGGAAATGATCTTCTCAGTACTTCCAGGAATCCTCACCAGTTTTGTAGCCAGGATCTTGAGATTGTTCTTGTGTCGTTAGGACAAATTTATAAAAGGATCGAAAGAGAAACCATGTTGGCCGATCAAATCCATTTCCAAAATAATATCATCTCAACAAACAGAGAATAGGT